GCATATATATACATATACATATACATATACATATACATATACATACATATATATATATATATATATATATATGATACTGTTGTGCTGTTCAGTTTGTGCCTTAAATCCCGATGCGACGACAGTATCGCAGTTTATTAACATAATGGCTGTTGATATATCCAATCTATTTACACAATTGTTGTGTTAGTATGTTTGTTTTATTATTATTATTGAATGTATGGATTATCCTGATTCTGCGGCAGCATCGCTTTTTTTAACCGTACCTGGTGTTGATATACACGTTCGATTCATGTACTTGTTTTATCAAGTCCTTACCACAATGAAGGCATAAAAAGCTATTGAGTATTTGCAGTCTATATTAGCAATCTATGTACTTAATTGCTATACTCCGTCCTTATCATCGAAAGGTATGGAAATCAGGCCAAGAAGGAGACCGCTTGAAACTTGCTGACCGGAAAAACGAGCTGCTAGTTCAATATTTTGAAAAGTATGTGATTTAAATTTATTCCAAACCTACTTGTATTAACTTGGTTTGAGATTTGATCGACCAATTTGGTATTTTTCTTGGGTTGAATTTATTCCAAATCTATTTGACTTTGTATCCCCTTGGTTTGGGATTGATCTAGATCAACTGAGTGTTAAACTATTGATCTAGATTAATTTAGTATTAATCTTGGTTTCAATTTGTTCCAAATCTACTATATCAACTTAGTTTGGGATTGATCTAGATCAGTGTTGAATTATTGATCCAGATCAACTTAGTATTAGCTTGGTTTCAATTTGTTCCAAATCTACTTTTTATCAACTTAGTTTGGGATTGATCTAGATCAACTTAGTGTTGAATTATTGATCTAGATCAACTTAGTATTAGCTTGGTTTCAATTTGTTCCAAATCTACTTTATCAACTTAGTTTGGGATTGATCTAGATCAACTTAGTATTAGCTTGGTTTCAATTTGTTCCAAATCTACTTTGTACCAACTTGGTTTGGGATTGATCTCGATCAACTTAGTGTTAAATTATTGATCTAGATCTACTTAGTTTAACTTGGTTTGAATTCGTTCCGGATCAACTTTGTCTTCACTTGGTTTCGGATTAAATCTAGATCAACTTAGTATCAACTTGGTTTGAATTTATCCCAAATCAATTTGGTACTGACATTATGGCAGCGAGAAAGAACATAGTAGTTGGAATGGATTAGCACCAAAGCCGAGTAGTCAGTAAAGCCCACGGTAGTAAGAAAATACATACGTCATTCGTATGAATATCCACCACGACTGTCCGTATAGACCTTGGTAGTGAGAGTTTAGATGGACTAATATCGTAGCCGAGTGATCAGTAAATCCCCTTAACCTACTTCTTTCAGGTGTGACAAGAAGGGAAAGATAAGGGAAGGACCATCGCTGTGCGACTATAAGTTTAACAACGATCGGGAATTGTACACGAACGACGGAGTACATTTCTCGTCAAAGGTATGTGATCACAACAGTACAAGCTAGGTCATCTGTACACCCGACATTGAAACGATATCTATAGATGGCAGGAATTGGAGTTTATGTGAGTGGGAGTGTGGTTTTATCGTTGAAAGAATGCATACACGTTAGTAAATGCAAGAGAAAGACCTCCGTACATGAATGAATTTTCGTGGACTACAGGAGTGCGTGGAGGATATATGGTAGACATCTACCTACCGCAGTGAAATAGGCCTCGAATCTTTTCGGCCTTACGATAGTTGCTTCCCTGTAGCACCATAGAGTTGTATTGGGAGTGTTCACTCAGAATGTCTTTTGGGCATATGTGCCTGCTTGAGTTCGAATGTCGTCTTGCTCGCATAACTGTCAATGTAGTACACTTCCTTCCAAAAAAAATTGCACAGTTCGCTACATGCAACCAAGATTATATGTCAATTCAAAATTTAGATTCCTTTTGAATCAAACTCTGTTTTTTTCTCATCGTCGAAACATCTGCGTCATCGTCAGTAAATACTCTCGTGAGAATTCTGATCATGCGTATGTATAACCTCCGAATCCTCAATGGCACACAACAGTACCTGTCGATCGATCAGTACATGTTCTCCACTCCCACACAAGCTGCCTGATACGTTTACCTACTCTCATCGCTCTTGCCGTCTTATGGACAGGGGTATAAACTGTTAGCGGCACTCACCTTGGAAGCAATCAACACCGTCTTGACTAAAGTGGAATTTGATAGTGTTAGGAATGAGCTGTACGGCCGCCACGAAACGGAGCGCCGGGACTCTCTTCTGGGCGGAGTAAGAGCCGAGAGTAAGGAAGAGGCGAAAGTGCTTGACTTAGACTCCAACTCCGACGCAGATAGTGACACAGAATTACATACTAGCAAGGATAAGTAATCGGTGCTTAAGATATACAGCAATATATATATATATATATATATATATTTATATATATATGTATACATATATATATATACATATATATATGCGTGTGTGTGTGTGTG